TATTTTGTAAACTAGCCGCTAATTTAGTTGAAAATACATTTTCAATTAAAATAGCTGACAGTTTGGCTAGTTTATAAACTATCCAGCTAGTTTATAAACTATCCAAGTTTGCACATTAGCCGTAACATATACACAATCAAAGGCTTTACTTACAGATCGCAAAGATTATGTTATACTCTCTAAAAATGAAACAGTGGATTTTCACTGATTGACAGTGCGTATTAACTATTTGCCGCAGTGATAAGTATACCACTAGCAATTAGTGAATACTCACTTTTTCATGTAGCGATTTCTTTGCACTAATTTATTTTGGAAATGTGGAAATTACACTGTACAAATTAGTGAAATAGGTTTAGTTCAAAAAAGTTAAAATTTCACTATTTTATGTCGAGAGTTCCGGAAAAGTAGTGATAATAAAAAAACACTAATTTGGAGAAGTTAAAATTTCACTAATTTATATTGAAAAACACTAATTTTACAGTGAATAATAACTCACTGACGAAAATTGTGAAAATTTCACTGTTTCACTTTTAGAGAGTACTGAAAATTCTCAAAGGTTTAGTAAATATTATTGATAAATTTTAGTATACCTGACAGGACTGATCAATTTTTTCACTTTAAACAGCTTTTGGCGTTAAAAGGCGTTCTTGTAATTAATAAAAAAATAAAGGAATATACTCTCAAAAAATGAAACAGTGGATTTTCACTGATTGACAGTGCATATTAACTATTTGCCGCAGTGATAAGTATACCACTAGCAATTAGTGAATACTCACTTTTTCATGTAGCGATTTCTTTGCACTAATTTATTTAGTGGAAATTACATTGTACAAATTAGTGAAATAGGTTTACTCCAAAATTTCACTATTTTATATCGAGAGTTCCGGAAAAGTAGTGATAATAAAAAACACTAATTTGGAGAAGTTAAAATTTCACTAATTCATATTGAAAAACACTAATTTTACAGTGAATAATAACTCTCTGACGGAAATAGTGAAAATTTCACTGTTTCACTTTTAGAGAGTAACGATTAATGGATCTAGAAAGACAATTAAAAAACAATTATTAAAAAGGGGTAGGGTTTAAAACCCCTCCCCACCGAAATGAAAGAAACATTTTTGTTTTAAGATTTTTTTATAAATCCTAATAAGATTTTGAATTTTATAAGTTTATTTTTTTATATTTTACCCCTTCGAAATTATTAAATAATCAAACGCAAAGCAGGACCTGTCTGGAAATATCGCTAAAGGAGTTAATTATACAAATTTATATTACAGAAATTTCCAAAGAGCACCAAATATATTTAAATAATTAAATAATTATAATTATAATTATTATAATAATTATTATTACAGATATTTTTTTTTGATATGTGTAAATTATAAATTTTGTATAATTAACAATTAGCCTTTTGGGAAACCAGTAAAGATTTAAAAAAAAAATTATTTAAAGGAATATAGTAAATTATAGACCATAGTACAAAAAAAAGTTTATCCAAAAGTGCTCTTTTAGTTCCACCCTTACTTCCTAAGAAGTCCCTGAAACCAACTGTCCCCTCCGAAGGACTAATACACAATAGGACAAACACAAATAAACAACCATACCAATGTGGGAATCGAACCCACGACCTCTCGGCTTGTAGTCAGCAGCACTGACCACTAGTCCACCGTCGCGACGCGTCGGCGGTGGACATTATCTGAAAATTAATTTTTCTGTTTAGTAAATTGATTAATAAAGCAACATTTTTTATCAAAATTCTTTGCATTTAAGTTCTCAATTTCCAACAAATACTTTTGTTACTGGGTCTATAAAAAGAAGGTCCTTTTGGAAAGTTTCACAAGAATTATGGTTGAATTATTGACATAGAATTTTGTTATTAAATCTACAAAATATCTGTTAAATTTATAAACTACTTATTCAACAGATTAAAGTTGGTTGTAAACTTAACATAAAGTTATGTGGACCTGGATTAACACAAAATCTGGTTAATATATTTCGTTAAATTTTTTTACTGTGTAGGAGCGTTGACAATAATAAAGTTTCAATTATAAAACGCTTGAAGCGTTGTCAAATTTTAAAACGAAATATGATTTACACACATGTGAAAACAGTCGGTGTAACTGAATATTAGTGAAAAACCAAATAAACAAGGAGTTCAATTTCTCTCTCTATTGAGTCGCTGCGACCTTAAAACAAACTAACAAATATCGAATTACATACACAAATACACGGAGGACGAGCCCGCAGACTTGGGAATAACAAACATTGAGGTTACGGCTCTTCTTAAATATCGGATTACGTTTTTGCGGAAAACCATCGCTCAGTGTCTCTCGTCTCCCCAGTCAACCCCAAAAGCTTAGAGAATATAACACATGGAGTTCTAATCACAGGTCTGTGGTTCTAATGCTTATAGTACACGTCAAATATATAGGTGCAGCATGGTATTTTTTTAAATTTTAGTTGGTGAAAAGGCTTTTTTTATTATTATAATATATTATTATCATATTATTTATTACAAATTTGGTTATTGTTCGTTTTTTTTATATTTTTAAACTCTATTATGTAAACTTTTGTAAACTTTTTTTGTTGGATACACCTCTACAAGGCTTTAAATGCGTAGTATGTCTCTTGTTTTTACGACTAAACTCATGGACCGAATGGTAGATGGAAGTTTGTAGTGCTTATCGAAATTAGGGCGCACTATATATATATACAAGGTGTCCCTAAACTTAGTGGCATAAATTTAGGAGCAGATTGAGCAAGTCAAAATAAGACGAAAATCTAAATAAATATTTTTCCTAATTACGTATGTTTAAAAGATACAGGGTGATAAAGTGTTACTTATCATATCAGTTTTTTAATATAACTTCTACTATGGTAGACTTGGAAAGGTGATATTTTGCGAACAGTCACTTACTACCAAAACACATATTCACACATAATTACAATTGTTTGAGTGAACACAGTGTCGTAGAAACGGGGGTTGCTTTAAGCTTATTGTCCCATACAAACTTTGAGGTTAGGTTTTTGTAACATTTGATGCAATTTTTCGATTAAACAGTTCGGCTACCATTAAAAAGGTGTACCTCTCAAACTTCGATAAAATAAACCGTTTCCGAGATATTCGAGATTACAATAATTGTTATATCGCATTATTTAAAACGATTAAAAGGTATATGATAACTAATTTTATTTTTTAATTGAATAAACTAAAAAGGGCATTCCATGAGTCTCGGGACTTTTTGCCCTGACCGTCACATTAAAAAAAAATGTAGTTTTTTCAATTAAAAATTTGTTAACATATACCTTTTAGTCCTTTAATTCGATATAACAATTATTGTAATCTCGAATATCTCGGAAACGGTTAATTTTATCGCAGTTTGAGAGGTAAACCTTTTTAATAGTAGCCGAACTGAGTAATTGAAAAATTTCATCAAATGTTATAAAAACCTAACCTCAAAGTTTGTATGGGACAATAAGCTTAAGCAACCCCTGTTTCTACGACACTGTGCTCACTCGAACAATTGTAATTATGTGTGAATATGTGTTTTGCTAGTAAGTGACTGTTCGCAAAATATCACCTTTCCAAGTCTACCCTAGTAGAAGTTATATTAAAAAAACTGATACTTAAGTAACACTTTATCACCCTGTATCTTTTAAACATACGTAATTATGAAAAATATTTATTTAGATTTTCGTCTTATTTTGACTTGCTTAATCTGCCCCTAAATTTATGCCACTAAGTTTAGGGACACCTTGTATATATACAGGGTGTCCTGAAATTAGTGCACCATACTTTAACAGCAGATTCTACGTGCAAAAATAAGAAAAAAGTCCCTATAAATATAGGTCGAGAAATGCCTCCTAAGGGAGCTACAGCCCCCGAAAAGGGAGCCCCTGAAGATGGTTTTTATCTAATATAAATAAAAAAGTAAAAACACCCTGTCACTTACTACATGAAACTGTCACCTGTCTTAAATTATTCTATTTTTTCCTAAACATGGCAGCCGTATTCCAAGGACCACGCGAGTCCATTTCTATGGTTGTGATTTAATTGTGAATTTTTATGCCATGTAAAATAATTTTCAAATCGATTTTATGCGAAAACGGTGTATGTTATCGAAGTTCAACAAGATGACCTTTTTTATGTGCAAAACTCTAAAATTTTATAATCTGACACCAAATTCTGGTACAATATACGTACAAAAAAGTTAAGGTGGTTTTAACCCTACTTCCTATCAATCTGACCCAAACCACATAAAAATTTTTAAATTGTTATTGTTACGTCTTATTGGTCATAAAAAGTTTAATTAATTCCCCAAATTTCATTTTTATATTTTTAACGGTTTTGGAGATATTAAATAAAAACCATCTTCAGGGGCTTTCCTTTTGGGGGCTGTAGCTTCCTTAAGAGGCATTTCTTGACCTATGTTTATAGGGACTTTTTTTCTTATTTTTGCACGTACAACCTGCTGTTAAAGTATGGTGCACTAATTTCAGGACACCCTGTATAGTAGGTAAATAATTATATGTCCAAAAATCTTAATAAACCCAAAATTCCGCATTAAATAAATTAATATTCGTATAGTTTATTTCTACCTAGATGGCCATACATATACCGTCCATTAGGCCTTTCTAATTAGATAGGTAGTGGAGGTCCTTCCCGGAGGGTGTTTGCCAAAATGCCACCCCCGAATGGCATCAAGCGATGGCGGCGGTATGTCATTCGCCCCATTACGGCTCCTTTAATTGCAAAAAGGGTTTTTTACCTTCGGTTAAATTGTATCAGAAAACATCCCTTTCCACTCTAATGGAAACGTATAATTAACCCTGGGCGTTCTTTTTAAGCTTTCAACATACCCAAATTTCAGGTGAATTATTATATTAATGTTTTAATTGAACAATTTTAAATATTTGCGTCACTGCATGGGTTTTTTATGCATCACTGTAAATAAAATAACCTTAAGTTTATGTCAACTTGAAAATACTTTGACATTTTTGTCGAAAGGAAATAAAAAAGGTATATAGTTTTTTATGATTAGATATTTAAGGTAAATATAAATTTACAAACTTTTTACAATTTTGAACGATATAAAATGAACAAGAAAAAGGTTTTAACTGAAGAAGAAAAGCGTTTTGAGGCAGCTGTACAGCAGGAAGTAGACCTTTCAAGGTAAAAATGTACTTATTAAAAAATGGTTTTATATAAATAAAACAAAATATTTAAGGCTTCAACGACGATATGAAATTCTGGAAAGAAACAGGAATGAACGCAGTAACACACGACAAACCAGGCAAAATAAAGTCATCCAGATATTTAACCGAGAAAACAGAAATATTTTAATAAATCTTAAAGTAGCCACAGCCCCATGCAAACGCAAGGAAGACATCAGGGCCCAAAACGAGTTAAACGACGTCTTGCAAAGTTACGATGACTACTCCGCAAAAATAAAACTCATGAAGGAATACTTGGAGGAACTCGATAGGCAAATTTATTTAAGGCAACGTGATGTTTTGGAGTTGGAAGCGAAACAGACAACTGATAGGCAGTTTTACGATAGAGTAGCACTAGCTAGAACCACTTTGGAAAAATTAGAAAACAAGCTTGAAGTCTGGATGAAGAAATTTGGAACCACTTGCTATGAAAATAGAATGTTGAGAGATAGGATCAATAGTCTCATGTGTGAAAGAACAAGGTAAATCATTTAAAGTGGAGACATTTTTTGGACAAGATTAGACAACAATAGACCGAATAGACTAGATAAATAAAACAAGACAAGACAGGGCCAACTAAAAAATCCCTTTTGACTAGGGTTGCCAAATTTAAAAATTGGTTTTACATGTCAGATGTTTAGGAAAGCAGGACAATTACCCTCAAATCATTTTTTGTTTTTAAAATTTTTTAATTTTAAACGTTATTAAATTATTAATTTACCTTAATAAGAACATATAACAACAAATAATAATATATATCTAGTAATTACTGTAGTAGTTAACTGTTTTAAGAATTAAGAAGAAAAAATGTTAACTTAAGCTGGATATATCTTTTAATAACTTAAACCATGTAAAACGATTTTTTAAACATTGTAATTCTATAAAATGCAAACCCCACTTTAGGATTTCCGGCGAAATCTAGGACACCTAGCACATTACTTCTGAGATAGGATGTAAATTTTTAAAGCGTTTTTATTTAGATTCAACGAGGTTTGGACAAAGCTTATAAGAAACTTAACAACCGGTAAAAAGTTCATGCTTGATCTTATTGAACAAGCTACCATAGCTTACGATCAAAGAGAAGAATGGGTATCAAAACTATCGATGGTAAGAAAAAAAGCTAGAAATCAGCTTTTGAAGCAACTGCATGAGATGAGGGAACTGGAGAGAAAAAAGGATAACGATACGAAGTTGAAGAATTTTATTTTGTTTAAAAATGCTAGACGTTTGATGGTGGATTTGGAGTTAAGAGAAATGAATAAAAGGAGACGTAGATGGGCAAACTTGGAACTAAAAGTAAGAGTGCATATTAATATTACATTTCAGATTTAATAATGGTTTTATTAATAAAGGTTGAGAATTATAAAAATGTTATCGATCAAATACACGAATTTATGAATGAAGAAAATGATATCAATATAGTAAAGCATTACTTGCACATCGAACAAGAAAATTTCGCAATGTTTCTGCAATTAGTGGACGTAAATAAGGAGATGGAACGAATGAACGAAGAGATGTTTGAAAACCTCGTAGAGATCGATCGTCTTAGAGTTGTGCACGATGCAAGACAAGAACAACAAGATAATAGATTGGAAGAATTAAAAATAAACGTCGAAACTGCACAATTAAACACTAAGTCGTCTCAAGATGAAGTGCACAAAATCGACGCTTACTTGCAGCAAATTTTGAATGGGGTTTTTAGATTGTTTAACGTTTTAAAGTGCGATAACAAGCCGATGTTAGCTTTGTTGGGAAAAAATGAAAAGGTACATTATTACAACATACTAAAATACTTAGAGATCATGGAGCAAGTCGTGCAGGAGAAGATGTTGACGTTGAATTACGTCGAAAGATCTCTTTTGGATAAGAAGAAGATCAAAAGGCAACAGCTTATACTTCGTGAAGATAACCTCAGAACTACGATACTTGGCATTACCGATATTGTTAAAACAAACCCTTGCCCCTTGTGCTTTGAAAACGATATTGTGCACGATGTTATAGATACTCTTCAAAAAGTCATGACGAAACAGCAAGCCACAGAAGAAATGGAACGTTTACTTTCTTTACCGGATAGTCTGGAAAGATCTCATAATGTATCACATTGTCACCTACCCAAGTCCAGAGCCATAATGCAGAAGAGGTATCAATGATGATGTGTATTTTGTTTTAATAAAGGTTTACAGGGATTTATTTTTAATTTGTTGGTAATTTCGGGTCGCGATGTCATGAAAAGATTTCCTGGCAATTGTCTCGCGTTTCACAATGAACGTCGTGCAGTTTGACCTTTGTTCGAGTATTTTCAATTTGTATCATGGGAGGGCCGGTATCCCCTCCTCCCCCGCCTGCCTGGGTGATTAGAGGACACGATGACGAGTGTGCAAGGACAATACGATACTACGAAGGACGACTCCTTAAAAAAGAGGACGGGAGGGAAAATGATTGGAAAATGGTAAAACGTCGTACAATCATTTTACACGCTATTATGTCGCACACAATACCTCCACTCGCTGGAATTTCCACTGTTATTATTATCTTCTGCAGTTGAGATTAACATGGAAAATATACAAAAATCTGGGGTGTATTTTTTTAATCGTTCGATGTAAATATGGATGGGTTACAATATCTACGGGTACACTAAGATTGCTTATATTTAAAATCGTAATTTCAAAATACTAAAAATTAAAACGAAATATGCTAAATGTGCGGCTTTCAAAGATACTAAAAATTAAAACGAAATATTCTAAATGTGCGGATTTCAAAGATACATTTTGTACTACCATGGTCTGTAAAATTATGCCACTCTACGTATACATATACATATTGTAACGATTGCGACTCCACCATGTAACGATCCACTATCGATGATTGGGACTGTTGGGTGACGTATCTGTAGCTGAAATCACACATCTTATTTATATGACAATCAATTTTTTTTTACAGGAATTACTTTTCTTCAAACGAACGACGAAAACCCAAAAATAAATGTAATTCTTAAACTCAATCCGGGGACATACTGTATATTTTGATAATAAACAAAGGTAAAAAGTTTAGATATTATACAATGTATAATTATTATATGTCATATGAATACATGTAATACAGGTAAAGTATGCAGTGTGCACTAAGTCTCCTACGTATGGGTATATTTTTTAGCTACAAGATCGGTTAAATTAGAGAAAAGTTGCCTAAGTCTATTAAAATGGCATTTATTTCTGGGAATTTTTTTCCCAGGAATAACGAAGATATAACGATTTTTGGTTTTGAAAGGTTTTTAGTTTTTTTCAAATATTTTGTAAACCGCTAGCTTTTTTACAATTTATAAATTTCATTTTCTTCAAATAAAAATAATAGGTCAATTCTGCGCACATCTGTAAGCATCTATAAGCAAATCTGTAACTTTCTATAAGCTTATAGACAATTTGCAATTCTGCGCTTCCTGTAGCTTACAGAAAATCTTATAGAATCGTAAATATTTACGATCGGGTGTTTCCCAATCGTTGCTAGTTACAGTTTGTTTTTGTTAGGTTATGTAAAGCTATTTTAAAGATTAAAAACATGAATATTTTTAATAATGTCAATGTGGATATGATTATGGTAATATTTATCAATTGGGACAAGCAGCCTGGGCCAACTACATTAGAAATAATTTCAATTTTGACTAAATAAAACAATAATTGTATTAATACAGAAACTTTATATTTTTATTTTACATAGGTATGAAAATAAAATAAAATAATACCTATTCTTAAAAAAAAAAAACCACAGCCTACTCGGTCAAAAAAGAAATAAACAACAAAATAAATAAATATTCTAATTAGTCAAAAATTAATAGGTCAAATATCAAAATTTGGATTTAAAAATTTAATTTTTTTCATTTCAAATCCTAATTGTTCCTCTTTCAGCTTTATATAATTTTCTAAATAGTTTTTAATAGTCTCAAAATGTTTTTTTTGATTTTCTTCTCCTGGCTCAAATTTATCCTGCCATGGTTGGCCCAATGGATAATCTCCATCCATTGCATCCAAATATCGTTCAACTGTTGAGGAGTGGTGTTTTTTTTATCTTTTTCTCTTTGTTGCTTTTGCGTTACCACTAACCATTCATTGACTTCTTCACTCAACGCACTAACAATTTTATTCATTATATATTATATGTTCTTTTAAATGTAAAATTATCTTACCTCATTTTATTCCTCAACCAGTTTATAAATTTCTTACTTTTTGTATTATATTATATGCTGATACATAAATGAAAACCGATAAAATGTGGATAAACCAAATAATACATATAAAAATATAGGTTATTTTGATCGTAAGTAAATAGGCGTGAAGTTGCAGTAGTTCGTTTATACTACTTTAAATTAGACATTTACAGATAACATCCCAGAATTGCCACTTTTACGATTCTATAAGCATTATAGTTACAGATCACCGTAAGCTATAGATTTACGAATTTACAGAAATTTTACGAGGGAACCCAGAATTGACCTATAAGTTTACAGAAAAAAGAGTAAAAGTCAAAATAATATAAAAAAATGAAATCAAAAATACTTAAAAAGAGTAAGTAAAAAAACATAAATAGGAGTAATTTAAAATAATCATAATAAGAGTGAAGTAAAAAACATACAAAAAGAGTTAACCTAAAACAATAAATAAAGAGTATAATAAAAACATGCAAAAAATAGTAAATTTACAACCTTTAAAAAGGAGTAAAAATAAATCAATATTAAAAGAGTTATAATATTTTTATTTTAAAAGAATTTAAATTTAAACCACTCTTTAATGAGTCATTAAAGAGTGGTTTAAATTTTAATTCTTTTAAAATAAAAATATTATAACTCTTTTAATATTGATTTATTTTTACTCCTTTTTAAAGGTTGTAAATTTACTATTTTTTGCATGTTTTTATTATACTCTTTATTTATTGTTTTAGGTTAACTCTTTTTGTATGTTTTTTTATTCACTCTTATTATGATTAATAATGAGTAAATAAGTATTTACCCTTTTTTTTCTCCTTAAGAGTAAAAACCTTTTTACCTGGCAAAGGGATGAAAACCCATTCTTTATGAGTGTTTTTTCATTCTATCTGAGTGATTTGGTTTTAGAGTGAACCTACGAATACATGGCAACATAATATTATATATAATAAATAATATAATGGTATTTTACTTATTATTATTATTATTATTTATATTATTTTACTTTCTTAATCAACTCTTAATAATGCAAAATGCTGTTTAAATTAGTGCTGAACATCAGATCCGGATATAATACTCGGATTTAAAGAAAGAGTTTCTTTCTTAACAATATGCTTATAATTAATATAGGTAATAATAAAATTATAATATCATTCAAAAATATTTGGTCGCTTCTCTTTTAACAAAAACTACGTAATCGATTGTTCACCAAGACAAACTTAAGATGCCATAATAAGGAAATTCTTCATTGCGAAATAAAGTTAATAATTCACCAATTGGTGAATTATTAACTTTATTATTATTATTATTATTTTTGATACCAAAGATTCTTATTTTTGACTATTATTTGCGAGTTGATCTCTTCTAAAGAATATTAAATATACTTTACTGTAGAATATTTGTTTTGTTTATAATATTATTTGTAATTTGTTTCTTTGTTAAAGTATATACCTAATAAAGTATTTAAAAAATACCGTTTTTTATTTGAAACTTCCACTTTTTCCGAACGACATCTTTTATATTTCACTTAAAATGTATTTGTTTTATATTGCCAAGCAATAAGCAATTACTGCTTAGTAAGAAATTAAATTTGTTTTTGCTACTAATTATACTACTTATTTTGTTTGCCCATAACTAACTATCGGATCCAGATCTGAGATCCGGATATCGGATCCAAATCTGAGATCCGGATATCAGATCCAGATCTGAGATTTGATATCCGGGCTCCGAATTTATTGTATCTAATAGGTACAATTTATATTTATATATAATAAAAATTGCAATTTATATTTTAATTGTTAACTGTTACTCATGAAATAGTATTGTCAAATACCATTCGGGCATCTAATTTTTCCTGTGAAAAAAATCGAAAAAACACAATGCTAAGTATACTTGATTTTTGCACCTGCACGAATGCATTTTGTTAAAAAATATTATAATATTTTTTAACAAAATGCATTCGTGCAGGTGCAAAAATCCTCCTCTTCGACTCGGATTTTTGTTGCCACCAGCACTCATGCTTTTTGTTAAAATATTACTTAGCAACGTGTTTTTTCGATTATTTTCGGAAAAATTAAATGCCCTTATGATATTACTGACGAAAAAACCACTCGTTTATACGAATTGCATAGCAACTAATTGGTTGCTATGCGAAAAATAATTGTCAATGTTGACGTTTCTAATTTTAAAATAAAAATGTCAAAAAATATGCGTTTTGGTCAAAAAAATCATAAAAAAATTAAATCGGCAGTTAATTCTAATAAAAAAAATATATTCTTAAAATAGTCTTGCCGAATACCACTCGAGATAAAATTTTCCCTGAAATTTTTTTTAATTTTTATTTACCTACTCAAAATTTTTCCGAGTGGTATTATATACGTGTTTTAATTTTTAAATGCCTTTAAGACATCTTAGATGGTTTACCCTGTACATTTAATACCAATATTTTCCATTTGACATATTATTAATTAAAATCAACCTGTCCACCTGTATGTCTTGTCGTTTATAAAGAACACCTGAAGAAACGAACTATAAAAACACCTGTGCGATTCACCGTGTGAACTATGCAAAAGTTTTTCTAGTTTTAGTTAAATGTTCAGTTGCTTTCTCAAGTTATATTGTAAGAACGGAAATTGTATAGGGGCTTCCTAATTTGTATAATGCTGTATATAATGTAACTGAATTTTCTAGTCGTTACAACAAAAATACAAGTCTTTAATTCCAATATTTTTTTAATTTATCGTATATTTAAAATTAAATATATTTTTTTAATCATATTAATGAATTTATTTATTTGTTATAAGTGGCTCAGTCTTGAACTGTGAAGAAAATTTACCTCTTTCTCCTCGGGTAACCATTTTAATATGATGATTTACAAAATTAACTTATTTCCACTGATTTTTAAAATCATATGCTACCAAAAAAATTATCAGTTATGTGAGAAACGACAAAATTTCATGATTAGGTATTTTAATCGCTTTTTGTAAT